AGGCATGCATCACCATGCCCAGTCTCAATCACTGTCCCAGGGGCAGGGCCAGCATGGCACACCAGGGATCAAACACTGGTCTCTGTGGGTGTTTAAGCAGGTGCTGTAGTCTACTGAGCTATTTGGCCAATGCTGAACAGCTGACAAAATTCTGGCTGAAGTTTACATCAGAGTTTCATGAATGATAATTCTTTCTTTCTTTTTTTTTTTTTTTTGAACCGGGGATTGAACTCAGGCCCTTGCACTTGCCAGGGAAGCACTTGTTCTACTGAGCCATCTCCCCAGCCCCCAATAATTCTATTAAGTATGGTAGTTTTTAGGTTTAGCTGATCTAATTTTATATGATTAGATCCTTGACCATAGACTTTTTGAGATAACCTTTGTTCTAACTGACCCTGGACTAAAGAAAAAAGAAATTTGATTTACAAGTGGTGGCAATAAAGACCTAACCTTACACAAAATAATCAATCATGAGAAAAAGTATAAATAAAAAGCATTGATTTTTATTCTATGTCATGACCATAAGCTGAAATTCTGCCTAAAATAACCTTTAGGGACATTTAAAAACATTCCCTTATGGAATATTTTATAGTAGGCTAGCTAAAATACAGTTCAATAATGAATAACCAACCTGAGATTCATGAGCTCATTGTTGCTGAAATTTTAATTTGCTCCAACGTGATATTGCTTTAGTATTTTCTTAGAACGTGCAAATTTTGAAACTTCATGTTTCAATTATCCAGTAGAACCGTGGAATTTCTTCTAAACTGTTTTCAAGGAAGCCCTCGTGTTTTCTACGCCAGCTTTGCTACTTGTTGTTGCAAAGCTGCTTCAACTTTCTGTCCTTGGACTGCAAGTGGTCCGTGACCCTATAACTGACTCTCTTCATCAACATACTCTGAAAGTGAAGAGGGTGACATTAGTAATTAAGCTGGAACAACAGACATAAATCTGGGGCTGTCCAGAGCATTTGCTCTCTGTGGGCTCAGTGTGTAGTTATGAATGGACAGTCTACAGAAAGTAGGTTACAGGGAGTGTGAGCGACGGGTTTCGAATTTAGTTTGCATCCCAGGTGGGCCTTTATTTCATCCAAGCCCTCTTCTCCTTCTTCACTCCCCCTCCCACACCGCCCACATACATCTCTGTCTTTCTTTCCTTCTGTGTCTCTTTAGTCTCAGTCCCCACAGATTAAACTCAAGGTCTTTTTGTGAGCTACATCCCCAGGTCTTTTATTCCTTACTTTGACACAGGGTCTTGCCAATAAGTGACTGCATTGCCCAGCCTGGGCTGCTGCTTGGAATCTTCCTGCCTCAGTCTCCAAAGTCTCCAAGTGTGTCGCCACTTACCCAACTCTCAATCTCTCTGGACAGCACAACTCCTCCAGGTGGGCTACATTTCTCAGGAATCCAGTCTGATCCTCAGTTCCCTTTGTGCTCCGGCCTCTGCTTCCCTCT